CTTTTGCCTCAGTCACTTTTGTCCATTATATTGATCCCTATAATCAAAAATAAGACTGGTAAACTCAGTGACATTAACAACTACCGCCCAATTGCTTTAGCAAGCTCTGTGTCTAAGGTTTTGGAGATTATTCTTTTAACCCGACTCGAGCCATATTTGTACACCACTGCTAACCAGTTTGGCTTCAAGCCTGCACATGGTACTGACCTGTGCATCTATGCCCTCAAAGAGATGCTGGGCAAATATAACTCTCAGGGATCAACTATGTTCATGTGTTTTCTGGACGCATCTAAAGCATTTGATCGAGTCAACCATGGAACATTGTTCCAAAAATTATTAGATCGAGGTGTTCCAGACTTCCTCATAAGGATACTTGCATTCTGGTACCCCTGCCAGTCCATGCAGGTCAGATGGGGCGATTCCACTTCTGACCCATTCAGGGTTAGCAATGGTGTGCGTCAGGGTGGAATTTTGTCTCCTCTTCTATTTAATGTCTATATTGATGACCTGTCTCTGCAGCTAAATCAGTGTAAAACTGGATGCATGGTTGGAAGTCACCTGTGTAACCATTTAATGTATGCAGATGACCTTGTAGTGTTGTGTCCTTACAGTGCAGGTCTACAGCAGCTGTTAAATATCTGCTCCCGATATGGCATAGAGCATGACATCAAGTATAATGCCTCTAAAAGTCAAATCATGATTGTAAAAACACAGGAGGATAAAAAATTAGTGTTCCCTGATTTCCTTCTAAGTATCTTGGACACTACATAACCTCTGACCTCTCTGACGACAGAGACATGTATCGACAGCAGTGTAAACTTTATGGCCAGGCTAATATGCTCGTTCGGAAGTTTCACATGTGCTCTAGAGATGTTAAAGTTAATCTTTTCAAGGCTTTTTGCTCACCCTTGTATACTGCACAGCTCTGGTGTAGATATAAGAAAAAGAGTATGCGGAGTCTAAATGTGGCTCACAATGACTCTCTGAGGATTCTGTTGAAAGTGCCCAGGTTTTGTAGCGCCAGTGAAATGTTTGTAAATTGTGCTGCGAGGTCATGTGTTGTCTCCATCAGATATTGTATTTACTCTTTTATGTGCAGAGCCGTGAATCTGTCAAACCAGATCATCCAAGCTCTGGTCTGTCCAAGGAGGAGCTCTGTAAGGTTTTCCTCTGACCTATGGAGGCATTGGAGGTCCTGTCTGTACACCTGTTTATAATTTTACTGTATACATATGTTTTTTGTCTCTTTATTATTATTATTATTATTATTATTATTTTTTGTTTTTGTTTTTTTTAATCTATGAACCAGTTCTATCTGTGTTCTTAATAAAGAATGAATTGAATTGAATTGAATTTTGACACTTTCGCTCGGCCCTCCGGCACTCTCGCTTCAGTGCCCTGACCGGGCCCGCTTTTGTCCATGGGGCCTTCTGCTTTTTGTGACCATTTTTACCTTCACAAGGGCAATGGCGTCCAGAACATTCAACACACTAGAGGTGACAGAGTTAAACAATTCATCTTCAGTAGAACATGATGTGTTCTCAAAATGGATCAGTCCAATAAATAGTTCACCCGTGTCTAGACTCTATGTGACTGTTTCCCTCATCATATGGATGATGTGATCTTGGAATGTCCTGTTCCTGTGTCCTCTACCCCTGTCCTTAAGCCCCCTCTGCTCTTCCTACCTTGAGTGTAATCACTGCAGAGATGTGTTTTTCATGTGGCCATTGGCCAATGAGGACCGTACCATTCAGATAAAGCTTGTGTGAATCCCATTGTGTGTCAGAGAGACTGATGCAGGGTCCGAGGAGCGTACTGAAGAAGCTTTCTCCATTTGCAAATGCTGGTTCTTATCATGTCCTTTTACTTTCATTAAACCACACAAAATGCAACTCTGTTTCCATGGATCATTAAGGACATTTCCAAAACTCTACTTCTAACGATTTTATATTCAACAGGTGGTCTGGTAGCAAAACACATGTTAAAAAATACACAGTAATGATCCGACAGAGCAACATCAACTACATTAACATTTGAAATATTCACCATTTTGTAATTAGCAGGTCAAGGGTGTGTCCTCTGCTATGGGTGGGGACACTCACGTGCTGAGGGCCAAAGGATTCAAGTATAGAACTCAGCTCTTTGGGTCATTAACATTATCTAGATGTATATTAAAATCGCCTGTAATAACTAAACCATCAAAATTTGTGCATACAACTGATAGCAAAATGATGACATGACTGCGGAGGTTTATATAGGCAATGATAAGAATAGAAGAAGATTGCTTTTGTTCAATCTTAAAAGACACATTTTCAAATGATGACAATTTTCCAAAGGGCCCTTTATGGGAGACCATGTGATTTCTGAAAACTGCAACTATGCCTTACCCCCTTTTTTATTTCTCTTATTTCAGACTCAAATTTGAAATTTGGTCTTCTATTAAAACCGTATTTCCTGTATTTTGGTCAAGCCATTTTTCAGTCATAAACATAAAATCAATATCATAAGAACATATAAAGTTATCAATTAAAATTGATTTGTTGCATAGTGATCTGATATTAAGCATAGCAAGGTTAAAATGTATATCAGTATCACTGGGTGTGGTTGATTGATTACTACAAGGAATAGGAATTAGATTTGCTGGGATAGATCGCCTAGATCCTTTCCTTCTGATATGATCATTTTGTTTTTTAGAATTAAAACATATTTTTGAGCTGGTGCGAGAAACATACACACAATCAATCAATCAATCAATTTTATTTTTAGAGCCCTTTACAACACTCGAGGCGACCAAAGTGCTTCACAATAAGATTCCATAAAATCCAATTAAAACATTTATACATTAAAACAATAAAACAGTTATAAACATTTAAAAAGTGTCACCTGCTAATGAGTGTTAAAAGTGTTGAAAGCCAGTCCGAATAAAGACGTTTTGAGCCTCGATTTAAAAAGGCCAAAATCAGTGAGGACGCGCATATCAGGGGGCAGCTTGCTCCAGAGTCTGGGTCCAGCGACTGAGAAGGACCGGTCACCCCAGTGTTTGTACCTTGTCCTTCGTACTTCCAGGAGGAGTTAAGATGATGACCTAAATGATCTGCCTAAGTCACGAACAGACACAAGTACGACGAGGCGAGACCATTGAGGGCTTTAAAAACAAAAAGTAACATTTTAAAATCAACTCGAAACAAAACTGGAAGCCAATGTAGGGAATAAAGGACTGGGGTGATGTGCTGACGACACAGTCTCAATTGATTCAAAATGTGAACATTTTTGCTGTGTAAGTCCCAGATTCAGAATGGCATTGCTCTGTTGCTCAGAGCAGGATTCAGCACAGTTCAGTGGCGGGACTGTCATTGCACTGCCAGACGGACAGGGGTCTGTGTTTGCACCACAGTACTCACCCGGTGCTGGTGTGGAGGAGGAGGAGGGTGGTGGGGGCTCAGATGTAAACATTCATTTGTATCTGTTTGGGTGCAGACTATCTGGACGATAAGCCACATGACGTTTCCAGAACAGGCCAAAGTTATTCACAAAAACAAAGTTAAAAGAGCTGCATGTAGACTGGAGCCACATGTTCAGCGCCACAACACGACGGTAGAGACAGTCACCCCGGTTTACAGTCGAGACTGGACCAGAAATAAAAACAGATAATCCAGAGGATTGGAGAAGGCGGAACAGATACATAAAGTGCTTCCTTGTTACTTCTGACTGCTGAAGTTTCATATCGTTGATCCTCACATGTACGATTACCTTGGAGATGGTATCGGACAGTGAGTGAAGCAGAGGAGGGAGACTTATGAGGAAGTCTGGGACAGTGGCTCCAGGAATACAATGAGTGGCCGCGTTAAAAAAGCGGAAGTGTCTCATGATGGAATCTCCATTAATCAGAGTGGTCGGGGCAAAGAGTAGACATGGACGCGGAGAGGGCGCCCGGTGGACGGATTTAACAGGCTCAACTGAAGCAGGATCCGAACCTGAGCACTGCTGAACACATGGAGAGGAGGAGCGGTGGTGTCGACTCACGGGCGACCCACGCTGTGTGCTTGGGGACGCTGGAGCGGCGAGAGGGGCTGGCTCGGAGCGCTGCTGCTGACCCGGTGGAGGTGAACGGAGGTGATGGCTCGCTACCCCAAACTGAGGCTGCACTGGGGTCAAAGAAGAATGACCACTCTTTCGCCTGAGAACTGCTTCCTTAAAGAGGGTCTTTCTGGCAGAGGACTTGGATTGCTGTGGAGCAGTAGAGTATGCCACGGAGTCCAGGGGTTCCGCTGCAGGGGCAGGGATGTCAATGGAGAGGGCAGCATAGCGGTTTGACAGGCTCAGGACATGGGCCACGGCCCTGGATGGCTCTTCACAGTCCGCGGGTTCATCATTCAGAGCCGGGTGCTTAGGCGTGGAACAGGAGGGTCCAGAACTGAAAGACTTCTCCCACACAACAGTGTCACGATATTCAACGCTCAGTGACATTGGTCGCAAGTGCTGCCAACCAGCGATTTCAAAAAGTTTGGACACAAGAGATTGCTTCTGATTCGACTCTGCGGTGAGACGAAGGACTTCTTTACGTTGCTCTTCAATGTGTCATAACTCGGCTCAAATAGAAATGACAGAAACACGCCAAACCGTTGCCAATTGGAATAATGTTTATTAATAGCCAAACTTAATGTTTTAATGGGGTGTGTAAGTCTGTAGTGAGTGCGTGCGAGTGTATGTGCTGTGAAGGTAAGTCTGCGGTGTTGAATAGTGTGTAGAAAATAGACCACAACCTAAACGAACCAAAACTAACCAAACCAGGCAAACCAAACCGAAGGAGGCGGGGCACGCAGGTGGCAGGATGGGAGCGGAATGAGCCAACAAGAATGTCTGGCTTGCACCAGAGCTTTAAAGGCGCGGCTCCGTCTGACGCACCAATGAGCGCAGGTCCCATCTGAGAGGAGAGGCTATACGGCCTGGTAGTGTCCGTAACACCCCCCCACATAAATACGATAATTCTCCTCAAAGAATTATCGCAGCACAACACAAACCACCCAGGACACCACACCCTGCTCCAAGTTCCCCCGCTGGTGCCTAAAGGGAAAACAGAGGCAGACAGAATGAACAAACCACAACACTCAACTCACAGGCGCCCTGGACAAGGCAAAATTATCCCGTCCTCTAATGTGCCGGATCTCCATATCATAGGCCTGAAGAAATAAAGTCCAACGAACCAGCCTTTGATTGGGACACCTCAACGAGCTCAAAAATGTGAGAGGGTTATGGTCCGTGTACACAACCAACGGGACAGAACCACTCAAATACACACGAAAATACTGTAAAGCCCATATCAAAGCCAATGCCTCTTTCTCAATAACAGAATAGTTCTGCTGATGCCGATTAAACTTCTTTGAGAAGAAACAAACTGGTTTCATCACTCCCTGGCCATCCATCTGGAGCAGGACCGCCCCTGCGCCCACCTGACTGGCATCGGCTTGGAGCATGAATGGTCTGTCAAAACAAGGAGCAGATAACACAGGGTGGGAACAGAGCACAGACTTGACACTCTCAAACGCCTGCTGGCACTCCTGAGACCAAATAAATTTTGCTTTGGCCTTAAGAAGTTCCGTGAGCGGAAAGACGACAGTAGAAAAATTCTTACAAAAACTCCTGTAATAACCCACCAACCCCAAAAACCGCTGCAACTCCTTTTTTGTAGACGGCGGGGGAAACTCCGCCACAGCGATTACCTTAGCGTGGACAGGAGCGACCACACCCTGGCCCACGACACGACCCAGATACGTGACAGTTGCTTTGGCGAACTCACACTTCGCCAGGTTGACGGTCAGACCGGCATCAGCAAGGCGCCCAAAAACGGCCTGGATGCGCGGCAGATGTGCGTGCCAGGTGCCACTATATATCACCAGGTCATCCAAGTAAACCGAGCAGCCTTCCAGTCCAGCTACAACCATATTCATTAGCCGCTGAAAAGTAGCTGGGGCATTCCTCAGGCCGAATGGCATCACCGTGTAGGAATATAACCCCGAAGGCGTCACAAATGCAGCTATTTCCTGTGCGCGCCTAGACAGCGGCACTTGCCAATAGCCCTTGAGCAGATCCAATTTTGTAACAAATGTAGCCGAACCAACACGATCAATACAATCGTCCATGCGGGGAAACGGGAACGAATCCGCTTTCGTCACAGCGTTTACCTTCCTCATGTCAGTACAAAACCGAGGAGTATTATCAGACTTCGGAACCAAAATACAGGGGGAGGCCCAACTCGAACATGAGGGCACCGCAATGTTGTTCTCCAACATGTTCTCAGGTCCCATCCTATAAAACCGTTGTTTGATCGGCCTGGCGTCTCCCACGTCTATGTCATGTTCAATCCAACCCGTTCTTGAGGGCACATCTCCGAACAGCACAGGAAACCTCCTAATTAACAGAGACAGCTCCCCGCGCTGGGACTCCGGCAAATGAGCTAGTAACTGCCCCAGCTTATTCAAGGACTCTGAGTTTTTTAGACGACCACACAACACGCTGTCATCAGGCTCTGGGACCCCATCCTCCGGTTCCTGCACAGAAATAGGAGTAACAGCCAGAACAGGTCGCACGGAGCCTGCGCGCGCATCCTCACGCTGATAATATGGCTTCAACAAATTCACATGAAACAGTTTCTTAGACCTTCTCCGTCCAGGCGTCTCGATTAAATAATTCAACTCAGACACTTTTTCCAACACAGTATAGGGACCATCGAACTTGGCTTGAAAGGGGGAACTCACAACCGGTGTCAGAGCCAGCACCTGATCACCAGGGCAGAATTCATGCCGCTCCGCTCTCCGATCATAAATACCCTTCATTTTCTTCTGAGATTGATGTAACTTCTCTTTAGCCATACAGCCAGCCATGAACAAGCGATGACGGAAACCATTCACAAAATCAACGAGATTCCGGGGTGGGTCTGCCTCAACAAAACTGCTCTTCAAGGCAGCCAACGGACCTCGCACAGAGTGGCTAAAGACCAACTCATTAGGGCTAAACCCAGTGCTCTCCTGCACCGCCTCACGCGCAGCCAAAAGCAGCCACGGGAGCCCGTCTTCCCAGTCCCTCTCCAGCTCAGTACAGTAGGCCCGCAGCAGAGACTTCAGAGTCTGGTGGAACCGCTCCAGCGCTCCCTGACTCTGCGCATGATACGCGGAGGACTGGTTATGCCTCACTCCAAGTGCTTTCAAAACCTGTGCAAACATATGCGACGTGAAATTCGAACCACGGTCACTTTGAATGATCTTGGGGATGCCGAACACCGAAATAAATTGCGACAAAGCCTTAACCACTGACTTCGTTGTAATCGACCGTAGTGGATAAGCAGCCGAATAGCGGGTACCCTGACACATCACTGTTAGAAGATATTTGCACCCAGATCTAGCACACAATCTATTAACAAATATTCAAATGGCTCACTCACAGCTGGAATAGGCTGCAGTGGCGCAGGGGCTATTGCCTGGTTCGGCTTTCCTGTTAACTGACATGTGTGACACGTCTTAACAAACGCGGACACATCTCTTTTCACTCGCGGCCAAAAAAAATGCTTGAGAAGACTCAAATATGTTTTACGCACACCAAAGTGACCAGAATTATTGTGCGCCACCTCAAGAACAGCCCCACGAAACTTTGCTGGAACTACCACTTGATACACGGCCTCGTGCACACAGTCCCCCGCAAACGTGTACTTCCTGAGCAGCACATCATTTTGAACAAAATATCCATTTGCCAAACTCGCTATTTGTGCATCGGAGACAGCCAAATCAAATAACTTCTCCAAAGTCAGATCGTCTCGCTGCGCCCGAACCAATTCAGCGCGGGACACATTTAATGGAAACTCTGCCATAGACAACACAAAATCACTGGAAGCTGCCGAGGATGCAGAGGCCACTTTATGCATGGCCCGCGTCACCGCGCACGCGGGGAATACGTCTGGCTGCGATGAAGAGCCGCTCTCGGGGGCCATGGGACACAGTGTAACCACAGGTGCGGCTGGAAGCTCCACCGCGTCAGCATCCACAGTCTCCCCGCCACCAGTGTCTGTGTCAGCCCAGACACGACCACCAGCCAACCCATTCCCCAAAATAAAATGAATCCCCTCGATGGGCAACGCTGGTCGCACACCGACAGTGACCTCTCCCCGCACCAGCTCACACTCTAATTTCATCCTGTGTAACGGAATAGGCAACACAGTCATGCCCATGCCCCTGCTCAGTATGAAGTCCCCTGTAGCGGTCTCCGCGGAGAAAGGCAATACCGAACCGACCACGAACGAGTCATACGCTCCTGTGTCCCGCAGAATTCTAATTGGAACCGTACCTCCCCCAGGCGGAGATAACGAGCCTTCACATATAAATGGTGAAAAAGATTCAAACACCTCCGCTTCACCACGAATTGGGGCAGTGAACGCAGCAGGCTTGGACCTCAACACTGGACAATCAGACTTCCAATGCCCCACGTCTGACAATAATTACACATTTCACTCGAATCACGCCCCTGATCACTCTCGCGCATGTATCCTATACCACGCGTATCCGTATGTTGGTTTGCCGAATCCATCGGGCCCCTGTGAATCAGAACATAATCATCTGCAAGCGCAGCAGCTGCACTCGCTGACTCAGCTTTCTGCTCACAAATGTACGTCGCAACCGCTTTTGGCATAGAATTCTTCAATTGCTCTAAGACAATCAACTCACCCAACTTTTCAAAATTTGTGACTTTGGACGCTGCGCACCAACGAGAAAAATGTGCCTTCAAATCCCGCGTGAACTCCAGATAACTCTGTCCTCCTGATTTTTTGCACATCCGAAACCGCTGCCTATAGGCCTCTGGCACCAACTCGTATGCCTTCAGGACTGCGGCCTTCACCACGTCATAATCCTGACTGTCTGACACAGACAGCACAGAAAACACACTGTAACAGCATTGTGCGCTCTGAATCGTTCCATCCCCGCGCTTCAGCCAAGCGCTCAAAAATGTGGAAGAACAAATCAGGATCTTTATCTGAAAATGTTGGTAATAAACGTAAATTCCCAATTAAATCAAATGCAGCATTAGAGCTAGCAAACGGCAGGGTGGAGGAGTACGGCTCCTCCTGCCGCCTCTTAATCTGCTCCAACTTCACACGCTCAATTTCAAATTGCACTTCCAACAATCTCAGTTGCTGCTCATACGTCAATGCTTGTGCCGCTGCCGCCTCAGGACCAGCGGCAACACCTGTAGCACTTGCAGACCCCGCTGTGACTAGCGGCCTGCCCTTCAACACCCCGAGATCAATCAAATTCGCCACTAATATCGACCTTAGATTTTCTTTCAAGCGTTTCATGTCCAAGTCCAGGTCATACCTTTTCCCAATGTCTATGAGTTGTTCTTTTGTGCATTGGAACAAAAACTCCTCAGAGGGAGCATCAAAAAAGTCAGAGATGTTCACCATCCTTCTCTGTTTCCCAACCCAGTCCAGCAAAAATCAATGTGAGCTAAAGTGCCCAAAGCAAACATACACCCAAAATGATCCACAGCTGACCCAAATGCCCCGCTAAACCTATACTCAACCCTGATCTTCACACGGTTCTGCGGCGGGGTTTTAAGCACTCCAAGGGGAGACCAGTGTGACCACGGTTTGTGCACCCGAGAACGCCGTGAAAACGGCGAACACCAACGGCTCCCCGCGACTTAAACAAAAAAAACGCAGCCAAAAGAGCCACGTCCCTGTGCCTACCCGGGACACCGGTCAAACTGTCACCACTGGATCTAGGTGCTGAATATCCACTGACACTTCACTCACCTTGATTCGCTGAACACGGGCCAAACTCATCCCTCCAACTCCCATCCACACAAATAGCCGGTGCCTCCGAGAGACCACCCACAGCGTCTCCGCGCCACCGAGGAAGACTCTGCTCTCAAGCCACCTTGCGGCGCACACCCGCCAGAGTAAACTCAGGACTGCAAATAATGAAGGACACAAAACCAACTACACGAAAAACAACCAAATAAATAAGTAAACGAATTCCCCTCAATGCGCTTCCAACTAACAACTTTGACGAGCCCCCATTCTGTCATAACTCGGCTCAAATAGAAATGACAGAAACACGCCAAACCGTTGCCAATTGGAATAATGTTTATTAATAACCAAACTTAATGTTTTAATGGGGTGTGTAAGTCTGTAGTGAGTGCGTGCGAGTGTATGTGCTGTGAAGGTAAGTCTGCGGTGTTGAATAGTGTGTAGAAAATAGACCACAACCTAAACGAACCAAAACTAACCAAACCAAACCAGGCAAACCAAACCGAAGGAGGCGGGGCACGCAGGTGGCAGGATGGGAGCGGAATGAGCCAACAAGAATGTCTGGCTTGCACCAGAGCTTTAAAGGCGCGGCTCCGTCTGACGCACCAATGAGCGCAGGTCCCATCTGAGAGGAGAGGCTATACGGCCTGGTAGTGTCCGTAACAAATGGTCGCTCGGTCGTTCTTACAGTGACTAATATCTTGTAAGTTTGAGCTGTTTGCATTGTCACTGTCCATGTTAGCCTCTATGCTAACGAGTGTCAGTCGGGTATCTGTTCTTGAGTCTGTCGCCTGTAACCTAATAAAACGATTAATATGGTTCAGGACAATATTGTCTATATTGTCTGAAAACGTGGAAAAAGTCCAAAGCTTACTAACTGTTCTGTTAGGTGGTGGCTCAGTGGATCGCCATTTTTAGCTTTTGCCTAAACTTTTGGTCTCTCAGTCCATACACAACAGGGCTGACGAGTCTGGGAAGGATTTGAATAAATATGTAACTTGCAAAAAGGGCATTTAAAAAATATCTGGGGGGAAGGTAAAATAATAATTGCACAATGAAGTGGTAAATATAAGTCAGCATGCACAGAAGCAGTTGAAACGCATGAAGTAAGATGGTGTTTCTGGCCTTCTTTTCTTCTCCACGTGAGGACCTGGCAGCTTTAGCCACAAAAAATATATGGATGTATGTGTAAATGAGTACAAGCCATACTGCTAAAAGGCAGAGGGTGTACAATACTTCACGTTTTTTAATACTGACTGAATTCCGAAACAAATAATCCCTTTCACAAGGGAATGTTGACAAAAACAACTCCCTTGGCTCTGTAGCAATAAATAAAGCAATATCAGGCAAAACACCGATTGAATTCATGCACCACATCCATGTGATCAATATGTATGTCGTCTTTATGGTGCTAAGTTCTACATGTCGTAATGGAAAGCAGATGGCAATGTAGCACTCCACTGCCATGACCGCTAAGTTGACAGGAGTGTTCAAAGTGGTGAAAATCGCCAGTGAAATTAATATTATGCAAACAGGGACATTGATTTTATAGAAAATGTAACGACTGGCATACAAGATGACTGTCGTAGTGAGCTGGATCATATCATTGATCACAAGATGAATGAAGAGGATGTAGCGAGGCGTGGTGTAGAAGATCTATAAGAGAAATACATGAATGAAATCATTGTGATTATTTATTGACACTATTCTCAAATAAAATGCACATTTCAAAGACAATAAAACATCATGTGTAATGTGCCTCTGCCCCTTCCTCTCCCAATTTGATGCTGGACTAATTCCCTCCTCATGGATCCATGGCAAGAGCCTGAAAAACTTCCAGCATATTAAAAATAGTGCAGCCTGGGTCTCGACAGGGAGATGCCCCTGTCCAAAGTCTCCTCATGGCCTTCTAATAGGGCTATTTTTTAACTAGCATTGTCTCATACCTTTTATTGCATTTAATGTACTCGATATATATAAATAGAATTGATATTCAATTTTTTTCGGTTGTTTTATAAAAATGCATCACTTTGAGGTTTCCTTGAAATGATTATTATTATTATTAGGTACACATGGCCAGCGAATAGACCAAGCACGTTGCTGCTTCTAACAGCCTCAGATCTCTCCATCTCCCCCTACATTAGTGGGGGAAAAAATGTATTTAGTCAGGCGCCAATTGTGCAAGTCCTTTAACTTAGAAAGATGATAAATGCCTGTGTTGTCATCATAGGTATACCTCAACTATGAGAGACTGTATATATATATATAAAAAAAATATTTCTTAAGAATGTATTTTCAATTTATGGTGGCAAATAAATATGTAATCAATGACAAAAGTCAATCTCAATACCGACCCTTTGTGGGCAATGACAGAGGTAAAATGTTTTCTCTCACTCTTGCTGGTAATTATTTACAATTGAGTTTACAATTACAGAGAAAGTTGAGTGCAACACTTTGACTAAATGTAAAATCTTTGAGGACATATTGACCTGATGCTTCCTGAAGGTGTGAATGAGCATCCCGTTGATGAAGTTAATGCCAAAGCCCAAAGCTACGACAATAAAAATCTTGGTGACTTTGACGGCGTAAACATCTTGGAAGTTCTCCAGCCCCCCACCCTGGCCGGCACCGGACACATTCATTATGGGCTTCTGAAATGTAAAACATATGATAAAGTAAACTTCATATGTGTAAATCACCAACAGGCAATTGTGGTAAATTACCTATCAGCACTATGTTAAACAGAAACCTTGGGTTATTTAACTTTACAATATTCAGCGCTTACACAATTATTTTAGTTAAGATTGCACTCCATCATGTTTTTGATATATATTACAATTGTATCAGAATTGAAAATCAAATAAAACATGTATAAACCAAATTCACCCTGTACATTATTTTAGTTTTTACAATACATGGCACTTTTCAAACTTTAGAACAAAGCATTATGATCATTTATACAGCACTTAAGAAGCACATAAAGCACAGTTAAACACACTGCACAGAGACAAAGGTAATGTAAGCATATTGTCTGCCAGCTTCATGAATAAAATCAAATAAAAGACAAGAAACAGATGTAAGATAAATAAAGCAATAAAATGTATAAAACATAGTGAACCACACAACTCATGCTGTTATAAAAAAAACAGAATAGAAGTGGGTCCAAAGACGAGACTTACAACATTCCAACAAGAGTGTTTTGATGTGGGCAGAGCGTTCCATAGTTGGTCCAGCCGCAGACAAGGCCTTGTCCCCCCTCGTTTTAAGTCTCGTCTTAGGCACCACAAGCTGAAACTAGCCCTCAGACCTAAGTGGGTGGATATTTGATTGAGGTTTGAGACATATAGTGGGGCCACTCCATTCAAGTCTTAAGAAAAACAAACAATAACATCTTGAAATCTATTCTTAAAGTATCAAGGTGCCAGTGCAAAGGTGCTAACATCTGAGTGATCTCATTTTTTCCTGTTTAAGTTTCTGTTAAAAGTTGTGCCTCAGAGTTCCGTTGAATGTCTGTGTACATTTTTGTCAGTATGCGTAAATTTTAAAGAACATTTCTATATTAAATTATGTTAAAAATGTTGCTAGACACTAACTGCTACTGAGTGGAACACTATTCTGTGTTCCAATCAACATTTTAATTTAAAGCAGAATGTTGCATGGAACACACAATGAAATGTTGTGTGTTCATACTGTCATTCCAGGGTATGTGTTTTGTCCAGTATTGTTTGTCTGGATTTACCTCCAGTTTATTGAAAACAAAGGAATGAATAATTCTTGTATGACTAAGAGATCACACCAACTTGTTCCAATTATTAGTGCAAAAATATCCAGTGTAGTTTCATGACAACCATTTAAAAACATTAAAAGACAACAATGAACACACATGTGAAACAAGACGATTTAAAAACAAGCTCATGCCACAAACAATAAAGTGCTACATAAACCATTCAAGCACTTTGTTCAGACATTTAACAAGAGGTGGGCAGAAACTGTAAAGTGTGGCGAGATTCCCTGTATCTAAGCATATTAACAATAAAAAACAGTTCCTATGTTTGCGTTCTATTAAAAAGACAAAAGAAGCTTGTTAATTCCCCCTCTCTTAAAGTATAGACTTACCTGCAGATTACTTTAAACACTCACTTCCATTGGGTCTCTGCCATTTCTGGACTTTTATATATATCGTGAGAGGGTAAAAAAAACATTCTTGGAAGACGTCATCATGTGGCTGATGTCAGGAGGTATGTCTTTAAAAATTGGTAACGATTAAACAAAAAGTTAAAATCATCCAGGGATATATAATTCAACATTGTGTATTCATAAAATTATATCAATATTGGTCAACAACCAATTAAAAACAGAGTATAATTAATGTATTATTATAATCATTATAAAAAGTTAATTAACTAAAAAGTGTAGGTTTTACTAAAAACAACATGTTTTACTTGTCTTGTCATGATAAATGTAACTTGTATTTTTATTTTCTATGCACTTTTACACAATTTTGACTTTGGTGCAAAGTGTTTTCCCTTAAACTTCTGCACATTCCTTTGATTTCTCCAGCGCCATCAACACCATCCAGCTGCGGCTTCTCAGGGACAAGCTGGAGACAGATGGAGTGGACTACGGTCTGTCCCAGTGGATCCTACAGACCGAACCTTTTTTGTGTCTGAGGTCCTGACCTGCATTGTGGGTTCCCCCAGGGGACAGTCCTCGTGCCGTTCCTCTTCACCCTCCACACTGCAGACTTCAGACACTCTACCATCATCAGACTCATCCCAGAGGACGACCACGCAGGGTACAGAGAGCTAACACAGGACTTGACCAGGCAGGCAGAATGGCCCAAATAAGGGCATCAGTCCTTTGGGCATTGCCCGGTACGGCCGATAGCCAGTCCAGCCCTGTAGTGTTGAGGGACCCAAAGATTCCCAGCCCTACTTCCTATCACATTTTATTGTGTGTTTAAAAACTGACATTAATCATTTAACAGCCCTAGTTTATTTTTTTATTCAACACAGAAACACGAGCTATGAATCCATACGTCACGTTATTGGCTCAAGGCAGCTACCTGATAATATACTGTAGTTTTTGCCTGAACATTTTGTCTCTCAGTCCGTACACAATAGGACTGACGAGCCTGGGAAGGATTTGAATAAATATGTAACATGCAAACAGGACAGTTGAAATATGTCTGGGGAACAGGTATATAAGAAATCTTACTATGAAATGGAAAATATAAGTCAGCATGCACAGAAGCAGTTGAAACGCATGAAGTAAGATGGTGTTTCTGGCTTTTTTTCCCTCTCCACGTGAGGACCTGGTAGCTTTAGCCACAACAAATATATGGATGTATGTGTAAATGAGTACAAGCCAAACTGCTACAAGGTACAGGGTGTACAATACCTCACGTTTTTTAACGCTAACTGAATGTAGAAACAAATTATCCCTGGTACAATAGACAGTAGATAGAAACAACTCTCTTGGCTCTGTCGCAATAACAATAAAAATATCAGGCAAAATGGCAATTGAACTCATGCTCCAAATCCATGCGATCAATAAGTATGTCGTCTTTATGGTGCACAGTTCTACATGTCGTAATGGAAAGCAGATGGCGATGTAGCACTCCACTGCCATGACCGCTAAGTTGACAGGAGAGTTCAAAGTGGTGAAAATTGCCAGTGAAACTAATATTATGCAAACAGGGACATTTATTTTATAGAAAATGTAACCACTGACATACAAGATGACTGAAGTAGTGAGCTGGATCATATCGTTGATCACAAGATGAATGAAGAGGATGTAGCGAGGCGTGGCGTAGAAGATCTATGAGAGAAATACTTTTATGAAATTGTTGTGATCATTTGATGTTACTCTTCAATCAACAGTAAAAATATTGCTAAACTCTGCTCCTCGCACTCCCACCCTGCTGCAGGGAAACTGGTCCATGTCTGTATCTTGGAAATGCTGGCGTTACAGAGCCCCCTAAACAGGGCAACTACAATGTCCTCCCCTGCAAAAGCTCTAAATATGAGTGTCAAACAACAGGGTAAATAATGGGGCAGGTAAAAGAGAACAGCCAGGTGTGGCCTTTAGTTATGTGGGTCATGTGACAAATAGAACATTTCACAAATACAACCAAAAGATTATCTCATGCCGTATTTTCATTGTTGCTCAGTCCCTCGTGCATATCTCATGTACTTTATCTGACAGGGTCCATTCAGGGGACGTACACCTGATTTTGTTGAAAGCCATTTTCTCATTCCAGACCTGAGTTTTTGGACCGGTGACCTTTACCTTATCACATATTACTATAAAAAACATGTATGTCAGTTATACATTGGTAAATGCATAGGGACAAATGTATTAATATTTAAATACAGCAGTCAAAATGGCCGTTAATTTAAAAAAAAAAAATATATATATATATAGTGGTCTTATTATTAAAACAGTTTGGTGTATAAATTGCTATAATTGGCTGCTAGGTTTACACTGAACACGGCTCTGCAAAGAGACTAGGTCAAAAGTCATTTGAAAGCACAGTCAGGGTTTTTGTTCGTGTGAAAAACCCTGATAAGCATTTCTTACTACACCTGTTAAATCCTGTTGAAAGAATTGGCCTGGACTGACAAAGAAAGATCAAATATTTCAATCCACAGTGATGATCCCTAACAATAAAACTTTTGTAAGTTCTGGACAAACAGAGTTTTGTACAACATGAATAGGTCATGCTTTATGTGACTCACTTATTTTTACAATGGAGCTGCACATTATTCTACTGCTCATTTAGAAAGTTGAGTGCAACACTTTGACTAAATGTAAAAAGATTGAGGACATGATGACCTGATGCTTCCTGAAGGTGTGAATGAGAATCCCGTTGATGTAGTTAATGGCCAAGCCCAAAGCTACAATGATAACATTTTTGGTGACTATGAAAGGGTAAGCCTCCTGGAGGGTCTCCAGCCCCCCACTCTGGCCGGCTCCGGACACATTCATTTCGAGCCTCTGAAATGTAAAACATATGGTAAAAAAAAGAAAATGTGGTATTAAAAAATAAATCATATTAGAACTATTTGTATCAGAAATCTAAGTTTTGCATGAACCATATTCACCTTGAATGTTTTAACATTTTTAGTTCTTATATGAGATTGTGCTCTTCAACCTGCTCTGAAACACAGCACATTATTGTGTTAAATGTACAGAATAAATATTTGAATGGAGTCAGACACAGTTGTGCTTGAAAGGCAGAAATGTTCATTGGTGTTGGCAACTTTCAGAGATTATGAATGATAGCACAAAAAATAACACATTCTCACTCATCAAAGTCAAATAAACTTGATACATGATATAATGATTTTAGAATCTAAACTGTTTACTGACAATTAGTAAAACATTTTGTTGATATATAATTCATCATCTCAAAATATAACCCAAACCATTTATTTTTTCCTGTGGAAGTAAACTTGGATGTATCGATTAGTTGTTGGATACTTGACAGTGTGCACCACAGACAACCTTTTCAAAGCACTAAAAGACAATAAAGAACACACACATTAAGGTAGGTAGGAAAACAATCAACACATAAAACAAGATTTCAAAGCAAACACAAACCATAAACAATAAAGTATTAGATCTTTCTTCGGACAAATAACAGGTGGTGGGAAGAAAATGTAAAGTGTGGCGAGATGCCCTGTGTCTCAAGGAACAATTAGTTCTCTCAGGGAGAAGGATATTAATGTAAAGAAACAGTAATACTCACTGTATGAAACTGTGGATGACTTTAAACAAACACTTCTGTTGTGTCGCTGCCATTTGCTTCTGGGCTTTTATAGAGAATGAGCGAGTGTAAAAAAAAAAAAACATCTCGGAAGACGTCATCATGTGGCCGATTCCAGAAGGTATATCTTTATAAACTAGTCATAAAGCAGATAAAACAGACTACACAGATCCGGTGCAAACATGTATGTTAAATAAATACACTACAAAAGATAAGATATTCCTTTATTTGGCAGTGCATTACGCCATAGTGTCAAGTATCCTCACCGCTGTCAGACTGTACAATAAGTCACTTTAAGTCATTCATGCACTTCGAATAAAACCAGCACTGCTATTGTCTCTCTGTCTTTTATTGCCACTTTTTTATTGTACATGATTATATCCTGCAAAGACTATGTTTTTAACCTTTAACCTTTAAAGGCGCGTTCAGACCAAAAGCTTCAAAAAGCTTTTGACGCGCTTCAACTGACGCCGGGATAGTTTTGTCATTTTGGTGCTTGAAGCTTTTGACGCGAGTGACGCGCCTGACGCCGGTGGGAGGAGCTTCTCTGTTGTCTGTTGTCAGGACAGCGGTGGATTTTTCAATGAGCAGCGAGCCTTTATTTGTTATATAAAGCAAAATAAAGTTGTTGTAGGGCTTCAACAAAACATGTTCTGGGTTCACCACAGACTTGAGAGGCTGCAGTGTTTGCAGAGTTCCGTCATTTACTCCAGGAGCTGCGTACGGAGGAGTTTCGCTTTCAGCGGTACTTCCGCATGTCACTTGCCCAGTCTGAGTTCTCAAACCCCGGCTCTCGCCCCTCCCTGCCTCTCCCTGCCTCTCCCTGCCTCTCCCTGCCTCTCCCCGGCTCTCTCTCGCCTCTCCCTGCCTCTCCCTGCCTCTCCCTGCCTCTCCCCGGCTCTCGCTCGCCTCTCCCTGCCTCTCCCCGGCTCTCTCTCGCCTCTCCCTGCCTCTCCCCGGCTCTCGCTCGCCTCTCCCTGCCTCTCCCCGGCTCTCGCTCGCCTCTCCCTGCCTCTCCCCGGCTCTCGCTCGCCTCTCCCTGCCTCTCGCCCGCCCGGAGCTGCCTTGCTCTGAGCCAGACCCATCGTCAGCCTGTTCTTATATTAAATAAACTACGTTTACTACACAGCATGTGTACAATGATTTTGTTACTCAGAATGTTACTACTCATACAAATAATATTACTAATAACAATAATGACAATAAAACAGCAGCAGCAGATACATGACTTCTCTTCATGACAGAGACAGACCCTCTGCTGCTGCTGCTCCTCGTCTCCTGATTGGTTGAAGCCCGCGTCAAAGCTTCAAAAGCTCAGCTTTGCTCAGCTTCGGCGTCAGAGGGATTGTTGTGATACGCGAGCGTTTCGCGCGTCAAAAGCTTCAAGTGAGCGCGTAGTACGCGCGACTCTTGAAGCTTTTGACGCGCGTCAAGTGACGCAGGGGCTCTCGGCTTCACCTGACGCGCTTCACCATTCACTTTCAATGGAAACCTGACGCTTTTGACGCCGAAGTTAAGTCCGGTGTGAACGCCCCTTCACACTTCTGTCTTTTGCACAACCTGAGTGACTCTATCTGTGCCAAATGTAAATTTCTCCAGTGAAGGATCAATAAAGTCTATCTTATCTTAAAGGAGCAATATGTAAAAATTGGGCCAAAAGTGGTACTGCAGTCACAGTCAATATTTTGTAGTCCTCTCCCACTCTCCCTGACTCAGGTTGCCAGATACACACCAAATCCAGCAGCAAACACAGGGAATTATTTTATCAGTTGTTTGTCAGTCTCCATTCACATTGCCATGATAGCCGTGCTAATGTTGATGGAATTTTTATTTTTATTTTTTTATTTTGATATTTGAGATGAGAAAAACTAAATAAAAGCAATTTAATTATGCATAGATTATGCAAAATAAATAAGCAATTGATGTCCAAAATAGGAGTGCATGGGAAGAATAGATGTTGGAACATATTTCCTCCAGTGGATATCACCCTTCAATTTTATTTATTCCCTATCTTTTAGTCCCACATCAAAAAGAGACAATTTTTTTTAAAATTGGGGTACATGTGGTCTCAAATTATTCTTTTTACAAATAAACGATAATATACAAAAATGTCTTGATAATTATTTTTTACTTGTGATACTTTTCAATTAATTTCAAACAATCTCTACCCGGATTTGAGCCCGGGTCGCTAGATCGTTAGCTCTACTGCTTAACCATTAGGCACGCAGTAAACATTTTATATATAGATATATAGATATAAATCCCAGTTTTAGTCTTTGTTTTGTCATTAATGATTTGAAAGTCATAATAAGACCTTTTTTAGTTCTGCGGCCACATGTTATTTTACCAGTTCTGGCAACACGGATCGCTGACTTCCTGACCGGTGAAACGGCGCATGGGTGGGACATCGGAATGAAAACAATAACAAATTTTACGGGTCGTAAAACTAATTTTGATAATCAAATATCTCGGCTGAACTACTGTGATCAGTTAAAGATGTATTCGAAAAGAGCTTGATTTAATAACGCCTTTTGAAATATTGGAGCCATTTAATGATGATTTGAGATGCAAATATTACATATTGCTACTTTAATACAGCTCATTTTTTCACTTTAAGAGCACAAACAGAATTTCTTAGTTTTCGGTGTTTTACTGATAGACCATAAAAACATATTTGAAGTGAAAGCTAAATTCTGCATGATTGTCGTTATTTTAAAAAAGGTATGATTTTCATATGTGACCATACAGCATTTCTCTGAGTGCGTTAAATAGCCTAGCTCAAATCTTACCCTAATGGAGTCCTGCTGAGTGAAATCAACTTAATATAATTTCAGATGTTCTATGATGGCCTTAGATCTATGTGTATGTGTGTTGGTCACTAAACAGCATCATGAAGTCCAAGGAACCTCGTCCTCATTGTCTGGCGTGTCCACGTTGTTGTTGATTTCTCGTCATCGATGATTTTTTTGACGGCTGTACAGCCCTATTCCGCATCCACGTGTCTTGTTTCAAGAAGGGCAGGTGAATATCGCATCTATATCTCTAGCAGTATTAGAATAATTTATTTTTGAACTTTTGAACTAGCTGCTCTCTCCAGTGTATGGATTCCATCATGCCATATTCACCTCTAGGTGTTTCCGCTCATTTACAGTTCCACTGGCATCTCTTGAAATGAGCCTTTAGTTGGTTTGTTCTGTCGTTGTTTTTTGCCCTCCCACGTTCTTCTGAAATTGATATTTTTATTTGTTCTAATAATATTGAGCGCGTTGGAGCGTGGCTGCCTTGTATACCCATGTTTTAATGAAAATATGAAATGTAACATATTTTGTTCGTTCTCCTGTCCACAAAGAAAAGAACTGCTAAAATAAATGTGTTGAACGAAATTATGCCTCTTATTAATGCACCTGACCTGTGTTTCCTTTTATGGTTTTTGGTTCGAAATGTCAAAGCTAAAGAACTAGAATCACCAGGTTACATTCGCCACATTTCGAAATATGTATTTTCTCTGTTTCTCAGCTTAAGTGCTTCTAATCATTAAAATCAAAGTTTAAGGAAGTAAATATGGTCTCCATTCTCCTCCTCACCCTTTCCCCCAATCATTCATTATGCATTTTGTCTCAATACTCCAGCAACGCTGGGCAAGGCTAAGGGCTCGGGTTACAAGCCCTATACTCCTTCAAATGGTTTCGTACTTTCATGACAACATGTGTGAAGTCTTGAGATAGTTATTGGTTTTCGTTCGCACCTGTTGGCTTTACAACAACGAGAGTAGATGCAAATGCATCTTATTTTACATTTGAATCAGCGAGATCAATGCTGCTGTTTGCCTTCATGGGGCCCTAAGCTTCAGTTCTTAAGAGGCCCTTATGCCATTTTGATACACCATGATTATTCAAGAAAAAGCTGTGTGTTGACACTGATTACATTCTTCCACACAATTGTTATGTTATTGTCAAGGGCTTATTGGTGGAAGGGTCCCAGATGAATGGATTTTTGTTTAGATAAAAAACAAAGTTGAGTTAATGAAATATTTGAATTCATCCTCATATAACTCTTGAGGAAAATTATAACAGGATTGATTCTTACTGCGTCCATCAATCTTAGCATCTTTGGTTTCGACCATCAGTCCCTGAACTAACAATTTTATCAGAACACATCGGAGTGCGCCTTCAGACTGCCATTTCCCCACTCACCAATTATAAGTGTCATGTACATACACTTCTATTAAAACAGATAAAGTATGTCTTCATGTGCTTTCGAAAAGTTGTGTCTCTAATACCATACACAATTGGGCTTAGTGACCTTGGTAGAACTTGAACGACGATATAAACTCCAAACTGTATATCCGGACCACTTCTGGGGAACAACTTGATCAGAGAATCTCTCACTCCTGGAGCTATGTAGATTGTCATGCACATAAGCACCTGGATACCATGCAAAACAATAGTGTTCCGAGCTTTCCTTATATCCTTAGTTGCCGCCTTTGCACTGAAGAGAATTTTGAAGTATGTGTACACAATCACAAACCAAACAATGAACAATAGAATGGCGTAGGTGTAATTTCGTTTTTGCTCCAAGACTGGACCTGGAAAGACATTGTGTCGAAGGCAAACGATTTTGCCATTGAACAAGTTAAGCGGGGAAGTTGCCAGTGTGATAATTAGATCTGAAATCCCGGAAAAGCCAGTCACGAGCCACATCAAGGCAATCAGCATGTAGGTTCGTTTGAGGGTGCAGATTTTGGCGTGGTGGAGAGGGTGGCAGATGGCAATGTAGCATTCGAGGGTCATACAAGCCAGATTGAGGGGAGTGTTTTCAGTGCTGGAGATAATGACCAGGGTGAAGATGGTGCACATGGAAGCAGGGAGAAAATAGAGGACATAGGTGATGGTCAAAAGGAACACGGTCAGAATCAAATGTAGCATGTCGTTAATGACCATGTGGATGAACAAGACGTAGTGCGGTTTGGAGTAGAACATCTGTGAAGTAAAGAGAAATAGTGAATACTTTGGAAGACATTTTCTCTACTGTGGAGAGAAGTTTGGGTCTGAAATTGGCAACTTTAACAATGATGTAACTCTCCACACATAGCAAGGTGCCCCAGTTCTGTTTTTTTGTTTCTAGAATGTGTTTCTTTTCTTCTGGTATGAAACCTTTTACTCTTGTGTCCGAAATAAAGTATTGAATTGAAATTAAATATATCAAGATTGTAGGGTGTACATCAAAAGACAGGTGGGTATATACAGAGTTTGCACTAAAGCCTTTCTATTCCATGCACCGTGCTTCAGATTTGAGGCACCTGTAGACTAATATTTATGAAAGTGAGTGAATGGACGGTGTTGAATGAAGGCTTTGATGCGCTAGTGTGCTCGGCGTCTCACTTCTGTCATCACCAGGTGTGGAGTGATCGCAACAATATCTGAACTCTGAACATAGTGAAGTGCTTTGGGTGCCCTTGGTCTGTAAAATGTGATACGTGAATAAACCTTACTTACTTACTTACTGGAACATGCACTCAGAGACCTCATACCCCACCAAGACCATGCATCATCTCCACATTATAATGCGGTCTTCCTACCATCTAATTTCAGCCAAATCAATATGGTATTTTTGGACTCACACAGGGAGACAATTACAGTGGGCCCCACAGCTGAGGTGATCATTTCCTGGTTAAATAAAGGACAATAATCATAAGGTATTCATAGCTTGTTTTATATGAGTGCTGCTTGTATCGTTTGTTGCACTGACTTAAGTTATCCCTTAGTATAAACAGTAAAAGACTAACTATAAAAGATTCTACTTCGAGTATTAGTCAATGATTTTAGCAGCCATTATTGCTTTGGACGTGGAAGTAAATGTCTCCGTTGTGAGATCAATAAAGTTTATCTTGTCTTATCTTATGCATGTGAGATGATTTCAAGAGCATCTTCAGAACGTCTGCGATTTTAACAACTCTCACACCCTTTGTTTATGCGTTATCATTTTCGGCATTTATTGATTATAGGACAGATGAGTAAACCATGCACCTCATTTTTCCGGAAAGTGTGAATGAGGACGCTGCTGATGAAGAGGATGGCGATGCAGAGGAGTATTATGCTGCAGTTCTGGATCAAAGCTTTCGCAAAGTTGTGTGTGTAGATCCCTTCAAATGTCCTGTTCATGTCCAAGGAAAATAGCTGTGGGAACAGATTGAAAACAGAATTCAACAAATTGAACAGGATGAAAAATAAAATAAAAAATCATAATCATTAAAATGTGCATAAGTGCGACTTATTCCATTGAAATCAGTCATCATTATTATTTACAGTCTTTAAAAAAAATCAAAAACACAAGAACAAATCATATGAAAGCAACTAGTAATAATTTTTATAAATTACTTTTCGGATTAATTGAATGTTAGGAAGGAAGAGGATAATGCAATGTGTATCAATAAGTAACCACTGCATTCAAATTGTTCTAGTTGCAAAGGTGCAAAGGCAATGAAAGAAGATAAAGGGATATGGCATCGCTCCAGTATTTAAAGTGTAGCTGAAAAGGGCTGGCCTCTGTGACTTCCCAGAGAATTAGTAATGTATCTTAAGCAAGAATAAAAAAATACAAAATTATCACTCACACACTAGCCTCAGAACTGACAGTTTTGCAATGGGCTATATGCACGGGGAGGCGTGACGTAATTTCCTGTTAACGCAGATCAGCCCGTTCACTTCCTGTCTATGCTATCCTATGGCATTTAGGTGAGTTTTAGTGACGTTTTTTAGTAATTAGATTGATACATTCAGCTGTGAGACTGACCCAAAAGTGTCACTGTGCTTTCTCTCTGAGGTAGAGCTTTGACCGTGGCCACTCAGAGCAATTTTTTAACTTTATAAAAACACAATGACAGCACAATCAAAGAGCACTGTTGTGTCCCAAAAATGCCCAGTATCCTCACAGTTTAATTCCCGTTTGAGCATTATTTGGGAAACTCGTGTTTCCCAAACTGCTGAACTCCAGTGAAACTCAGGCCGTTTCCCGCGAACAGGAAGTGAGGTAGGGCTTTAGCTAAAACGCGGAAGTGGTGCGTGCATAGAGCCCATCGATGGTTTTCCATTGACGTCACGCACTACCCACAATTCCGCAATCCACCAGTGTGCGTCAACCTGGCGCTAGTTGTAAGTAAACAAAGCGGAGCACATCACTTATTTGCGCTAAAACATGCCGACTGCCTGCATTGTTTGGGGGTGCAGTAACCGTGCAGATTGTGGGGACATTCCGAAGGCTATTACGAGCCAGAGAAGCAACTCTCGACGGAGAAGAGAACCCTTTAGTCTGTTCTGACCATTTCATAACAGGTAAGAACTAGCCAAATATGTGCATGTGTTATTTATATTCAGAGCTGCGATTTGACTGTGATCCTATGTATATTTGGGCCTCGAGCAATCCCCTGTAAATGAATGAGAGGGGGAGGAGGAGGGGAGTGGTAGACAGAAGCGATTTACAGCCTGTGGTATCAACTGCTTCGTTCAAAGAGCATTGATTGAAAGAAATATTGCATCATATACATCATGACCTTTTTTTAATTGTAAAACTGTTAAGTGAAACTAAGCCATTTCTGGCGAAGTCCACTGGTCTCGCCGCGTTTCATATGGATCCAAATCTCCGATCACTCTCAATTTCTCGAAGGATCTTGCCTCACAGATTACTCCAGCGTATCAATATACTTAACCCGGTCAGCGTCGGCCGAATTTGTGGCTTTAGATGACATGGGGACAAATAATCCGTGACAAATGATACGTGCAACATGGCGTTCGCGCAAAGCATCATGGGTAATAAGCACGTGATGGAAAACCATCTATTGAATTCCATTGGAGATGCTGTGAACATTGTGTATAACCTTATATCATTATTATTAGCCAAAAAATACACACCACACCATATACTGTATATTTGGAGTGAACTGACCGAGTGCTGACATCACCATATAATAGTGTTAGCCTTAATGCAGAAGAGGTAGAACCAAGCCCCAGCGATCCAAGATGGCGCCCTATTCAAATGAATGGTTGTGCTCAGTGGCGCTTTGTGACGGCATGGGGGCTGAAAGATTAGCGGAAGTTGCCTGGAACTAGCAAAGATCTATGGGAAACTCGCCTGTATTTGGGCATCGTCTGGTCCTCCCGGTTCTGTGCAGTGGATGATCTCCCATAATGCGTTGCGCCAAACACGCGTGTGTGGGTCTCACACCGGGTCTCACGCACGTGCACAGAGGGGCTCGGCCACGCTCTGACCAATCAGAGCAGTTCATCAGAGCGGGAGTTAGAGCGAGAGCCAGACGAGCAGAGTTTGTGGCACTAAAATGTGGATTTAAATAAAACCGAAGGATTTAAGAAGAAAAAAAGTTCAGGATGACAAGGGACACTAAAATCCCCACAAAATCTGACCGTTATGAAAGCTGTAGGTTCTCTGTCAGCTGAGGTCGCGCTGTTTTAATTTACATTGAGTTCTATGGGGAAAATGTCTGGGTAGCCCACGTGAATTTAGTCTAGTCTGCAGTACCGCGAGAATCCCCCGAGCACATGAGTTCTTCAGCTCCAAGCTAGTAATACCCTATCCAGTGTTGTAGAATTAAAATGTTGTATACTAATGATTTTCAGTAGGTGTTTGCATAACATGTCTTTGTGCAATATTAAGCCTGGATTTAGTGGAATTCAGAGAAGCACCAAGGACAAAGCTTCTGTGATAAAAGTATCATTTTCAGGAACAGCGTGTCTCTCTTATCGGGACAAGGCCTGAGACACAAAACTGGACTAGGCCAGTCCAGACGGGGTCGGCCCGATGTTCCCCGGGTCCGATGTTCCCCGGGTCCGGTGTTCCCCGGGTCCGGAGTTCCCCGGGTCCGGAGTTCCCCGGGGCGGGGAACACCGGACCCGGGGAACATCGGACCTTCCAAACGCCGGAGGGCCCGGTGTTCCCCGACTGCGGGCCTCGCTCATAGACATGTTATTGCTGCGCGCGGATATTGGAGCAACAAGCGGCTTTCGCTCATAGGGCTACTGAATACTTTATATTATAAGCCTTGTAGATCTCGCATTGGTAGCCAACTAAATTTTTACAACCTACCACCTCAGAATAAGAACGTGTTGCAGATAAGAAAAGTAAAATTAGCTCCACCACCTTTTCTTTTTGGAAACATATCTCCCTCCGTTCATCCTCGCAACAGTATTGGCGCCAGGTTTGCAATTTTGGGTAGGCCTGCAGATTAGTAAGTAGGCCAAATTCGCTTGAAAACTACAAGGGCTAACTGGAATTGGGGTTTCAAAGAATATGGTTCAAACGCACACACGCACGCACACGCACTCACGCGCGCACATACACACAAGCTCATTTATGAAACTTGCGTTGAAAAAGATGTACATTTTGGGTGTATATTCCATTTACGCAATTTGCCAAAATGTTTTGATACATTAGAAAAATCCTTCTTGAATTGTAGAAGTGAATAAATATAGATTGATTGAATGAATTAATTAATTCATATATATTATGCAGCGGTGGCTCTGAATGAAGCGTCTGCAGCGTCTTGGACGCAGCCTGGCTCGGGGTAGAAGTGCGCATTGAGGCGCTGTACACTTCAGAGAGCGTTTGCGGTCCAGATTTCACAAAGAAACTCTGGAGCCAAAACTTCTGCACATGTGGCGCGACCTCTCACGGCACTCGCTGCGCACTCTGGACAGGGCAGTGAGACGTTTGAGTGAGCAATACCATCGATGCGTTATTGGGGTGTGTGTCTGTGTGAGGCTTACACAAATCTAATGAAATAACACATTGCTTTACCAGATGTGAATGAGGAATGCAAATAGCCGTGCGTAATTACGCAGCGCAGAGCCTGCAGCCACAGCAATAGATGGGTCACACATCCCTGTTGCGTATGTGTATTTATATAGAGCCTTTGACTGTCCAGGATCACAAAGCGCTTCACATTTTAAAAACATACAGATCAAAATAA